GAAGGACATCATACTAGTAAACCGAGAGTAGTAGTAGCCTGTGGAGAGATACCTTTGAGGTACCTTTGTCTCTTGTCAGTTAACGGGATTGTCTCCAATTCGCCAACATGGCTGTATTTTGGAGGGTCAAGGGGGGTGAAAAAGATCAGATTCACTTGACATACAGTAAAGGAGTATTAAAATGAAAAAGCATTTTTCAAAAAGCATTTTCTTATTGCAGTCGTTCTTAAGTCTTTCAAGAAACTTATATGACCATATGTTTAACACTGTAAGAATAATGGAGTGCAGAAATTATGATGATACAGCAAATTCAGAAAAGAATCAAAACGATCCAGTAGTACATAGTACAATTATATGAAGACACAAGAAATACCTAACGTATTTAGTTAATAAATTATTATCACCTACGAATGATGTATAGTACCATTGTCTTATTGTTATATCACATAATTATCTACTATTGTTCGCTTAGACATGGAACAGCTATTAATATAACACGTTTACAACTGTGGCAGAAACTGGGCAAATAACTTTGATACCTTTTAGCAGGTTAGACAACCAACAGGTGGAAAGAAAAGGCAAGATTGCTTCTGGAATATTTCTCAGAAGTTTTTATAAACATTTAAATTTCACTGAACATACACAATTGAAATGGGATTAAAATACATATTATCATCATCATCATCATCGCAGCCCGGAAGACGTCCACTGCTGGACATAGGCCTCCCCCAAAGATCTCCTAAGATGTACTAAAATACATATGGGATATATGAAATTAATGTTAGACAAATGATTACTTATTTTGTTATATTTATTATTTTGGCTCTTTCAGAATCTAGCTGAGGGAACCGATTCTTCTTTAAAATAAGTGCAGATATATGATGATCCATTCATAACCATATTGTCATTCAGCCAGAACTAATCCTCATAAATAAAGCATTCGAGCGATGTTATCACGAATTATACATTTTCCTGTCAGCAAAAGGTAGATATATTCATATATACATACATACATTTATATATACTATATTACCACAGAAGTAATGCTGTAATTTTTTCAATGAATTTTGTAATGACTTCGCCTTGAATAAAATAAAATAAATAAGTAGTTTTTTCATTAGAAATAATGTACCTTTGAATTAATCAATATTTTTTAAACAAATAAATACGTAGTAATCTTAGACTACTCTTCATATACGATCACAAATTTGGACTCGCGTAAAATTATAATTATTAGCATTAATACTTTCTATTCTTTTGTATTGTATGTTGTACTGCAGTAAATATAAATATTTCCAAATCCTATACATATGTGTGTACATTATGTAAGATGGAATGTAATCAATCATCGTGCTGGTCGTTATCTCCTTCTCAGTAATTAATAGGTCAATTGATAATGTTTACGAGTACTGCTACTGGGAATGTTTCGAAATCCAGTTTTCAATTTGTTTGTATGTATGTGTAAAAATTGAAAACTGGATTAACTTCTGAATTTGTATACCTAGACATATTGATATTTGATTATATATTATATATATATTGATATTAATACGTCTAGTATTTTAGCATGTCGCTTTATTTCCGAAAGTAGAGGGAACAGAACGCTTGATACAAACTTTTCATACGTATAGTTGTTTGTATTAGTCTGGGTATTATTGTGCGTTTATTGACAGAACGAATTATCCTACTATATTTTTGTCACGGCAAAAGTAACTGTTCTAAGTTAAGTTAACTGTTATAACAAATTAAAATAAAAACAAACAGTGGATTAAAGAAATAATATGAAGAAGCACACCACGTCTTTATTGAGTTATTATATAGAAAAGTGAATATAAATAGTATAATAAATCAATCTGAACACACACAAAAAAGCAAAAATTGCATGTCAATAGGATTTATAAACATCAGTGTTAATATGTATAGAATACAATCGCTACACAGTAAGAGTAGTTGATATGAAAACGATAACATGTGCTCCCACCTCTATAGACCGCAAACAAACTAGAACTAGATTGAGATTCTTATCTAAATAAATATCCCCTGGTGGTATCTAAGCTATTACTACCTTTAACATAACATAATTTTAGGATAACTCGCACATTACTGACCTTTGTGATATTGGACACATACAGACCTTGGAACACCTTAAAATGACTTCATCTGTTGCATTCATCTACTATAACATCATTATTGACGGGCTCCGTGACCTAGTGGTTTAAGACGTCGCTTTAGTTCCGATAGTCGCGAGTTCTATTCCTCTCACGGTAAACATTTGTTATGACAGTTTGAGTATGGGTTTTTTTCTATTTATATTACGTATGTATTTACAAAATAAGGTATTTATGTAATATATCAGTTGTCTAGTACCCATAACACAAGCTCTACTTAGTTGGGTCTAAATGGCGCTGTGTTAACAGTCCTGGCTTATTAATATTACTAATTAATATTTATTACACCATTGCTATCAAACCTATAAGACTCTTTATCTAATTAATATATAAATAGTATATAACACTTCATAATTTTATCGTATCTCCCGAACTAGGGTCAGTCTCATGTGACATACAGACCTTGAAACATCTCAAAACGACTTATTCTATTACGTTCATTCATTATTATATCATTACTAAACAATAATATTCATTACATAACCTCAACCAACTATAGAATAACTAACTGATAGTATCTAACCTGCAAAACTACCTAATTTTAGCGTATCTCGTTCACTAGGGTCAGTCTCATTTGACATACAGACCTTGTGATATATCAAAATTACGTAATCTATCCCATTCATTCATTGCACTATTTGACATCGGTACCCTAGCGGTTTAGCATACCGCCATACTTCCAATAGTCGCAGGTTCGATTCTTCCCACGATACGAATATTTGTACTCATGAGTATAATTGTTTATATTGGTCGTTTTCTATGTACAAACAAAAATGAATATATAGTAGTTGTCTAGTACCCATAACACAAGCTCTGTTTAGCTTGGGACTATTGCAATTGCGGAAGATTGCTCCCGCCAGCCCGTAACCCTAGCAAAATGCAAAGGGTAGGAACACCTTGGAGTGTGCGGCAGTACCCGTTTAGCTTCCCCTTGGCGGGTATGTCTCCATGAAGATTTCCCCCAAGTTACAGAAAAACGGTTCCATGTGAGATACAGGCCATGAAATATCTCAAAATGACTTAATCTATCGTATACGTCCATTCATTATGGTATCATTACAAAACATTAATATTTAGTACACACTTTACGATAATCGTCTACTTCGACATGGCGGCAGTGGTTCGTCAGTGCTAATTTTGCCAAGGAATTAATCTAGTGATCGGTACAACGTGCCAAGAACTGTTTACGGTTTTGTCAATACAGCTTCATATGTAAATAATTAATTTTTCTTCCTACACTAGCAGTCTTGCCACATATGGTTGAATATTAATGGGTAAATTACAAAATAACTGTCTTAAAATGGACCAAACTTGCTTTTATATAGATATATAAACTAGCTATACCCTATGTATGAAGTCACTCGTCTACACAACATTTTAATGTAATTTTCTAATTAAAAAAGAATGTTTCTAAATCGTCCTAATAACATCAATCTACTTATCAAATTTGACTAAGAACCACCATTTTGTCATGAAAAAGTAGAAGAAGCAGATATTCAGACAGACACACTTTTAAATTTGTATCTAATATTACTGTCCCTATATAATAAAACAAAGTCGCCGCCGCTATCCATATGCTTAGATCTTTTAAATTATGCAACTTATTTTAATACAGTTTTCAGCAACAGATACTAATTCAAGAGGATGGGTTATATGTATAATACATGCATATTATAGTACAAAAAAGCTGAGATATTCAAATATTTGTAATGCACTCAGTAATGGTATATAGTTGATTATTAGCTCCCAGAGTATATTGACTTAATCTATCTATAAACTATATGGCGGAGTTCTTACGATAAAGAGAATCGAGTCTTATTGAAATATATCATTACACGTTAAGAGCGTATAAAGTCTTCATTCACTGTTATTGTATGGGAATACACAGATACTGATTCAGAGTCTTGCCTAATGCATCAGACATCACACAATCTCATGATGACATTAGGATAGGTCAGTTTGCCCACCCTCCGGTACCAGCACACTTCTACTTTCACATACTACATCTATTTCGCCAATATTCTATTAACATCCATTCCGGATAAACAAGACGGAACATATTAGTAACAGGAATATCCTATTGCTAGTAATGTCAGAGTGGTTCGTCTCTCCCTGGAAACCATCGTAGTTAATTCCTGGTGAATTTGTCTGTTGGGCCAACTGACCTATCTGATACATCAACGCAGTCGGTGTCACATTTCCGTCATCATCCGATAAAAAATAAACCAACCGGTGTAGAATCATGCGCTTTCACAATTGTATAAAATATTTAGCATAAAAAGTTGTTATGTAAACTGCAAGCAATTATCGCATACTCGTAACTAATATAATAAATAACATTGTCGCCATTGCCGTGACATGGGATCTCAATGGCAGACAAGACAAGGACGACGATTTGTAATTAAAACAACACTACATATACTTTACTTAGATATAAGAGATACAATAATGAAATATGTAGTAAAATTTAATTTAATATTCTATTATTTAATAACTACTATTACTAATAATTACTATTCTATTTTTCGAGATCAATCCGGAAGCATAATATGAAGAATAAAGAAAAACACACATCTATCTAGGAGAAGCTCAGTGGTATTCGAATAAAACGGTTAATAGAGAATATAGATCATAATAAAAGGAACAACACACGATTTATAAAAGTCAAAAACTTTACATAATATACATATGTAAATAATATAAATTATAGTAAAATCTTATATATATAATACATATTAATATTTTTATACCAATTACTAAATCAACGCATGCTAAATGTGCAACAAAGAAAACTACAATTTTGGCAAAAATATCAATTTTGATGTTACCTACTTTTGTTGTGCCCGTGTAGAGTTGATTTCACCACTGCAAATAATACAAGAATTATTTAAAAACTATACACAAATTTCATCTATTACATACAAAGTTGTTTTTATACAGTTGAATGATGTTCCCTGTACAAAATTACAGTGATGGGTCTTTGTCAGTTAATAGGTATTTTCGAAGCACACGACAAAAATATATTAATATAATTATAATAGATAGAATAAAATATAATGAACTTATTACTTGTCAGTTAAAACTACATTACTTACAATTACAGCGAACCACACAGTCGACATGCAAGGCTCTATCATGTGATTCAAAAATAACTTTTACACATAGCGATACATTCAATGTTAAGTGTGCTACATTCATTCAAAATAATGTAATTTTAATTATCTTAACTGTTAGATTATGTGCTTAGAACACATCATCTTCCTTATGGTCGTTTAAATTCAATATTTTTTACTTAATTTAGTCACAGTAATATATTAAACATGAAATTGTCTATATTCTGAACCGGAGATGTTTCCATGTACATATATAATATTAGGCATTTTAAATGCAATAAAACATCGAAAATATTTTTTAGTGACTATTATACCTAGGTGTCTTTGTCTGTTATTTTTTATATAAAATCAGTCTTCGTGAAACAATCTTAAAGTGAAATTTCACCCGTTTAACCGCTTAGTCGTAAAAGGTAACAGGCATATGACATATTTTAGCATATATAATATTAGTAAGATATATATATTAGAATAAATACAATATCGAAATTCTTTAATGCCAACCTAAGTTTTTAAATGCAATACATGGCCTGCTGTCTGACGGTCGTCTGGAATGGTCTTGCGACGGTAATTATCTTAAAAATTGACCAGCGGCACGTGCCAAGAATTCCGACATAGCTTCTCGTGATTTTATAAAGGTGATGCGATTACACCATTCAGAGTAAATACATTTAAGGATCCATTTTCAGTTCTGATGATACAATGAATACGTTTGTTTATTTCTTTATAATATTTATTATCTTTATATAAGCAACAAATGGCATACCTAATGAAAAATGGTGACTGTTGCTGTTGACCACGGACATTGAAAAATAAACTGTAAGGTCATGTTAGCTCACTCTTCTCTCATGAGTGGTCATTATCAGAGAGTAGGTACATACGTACGTACGTACGTATATTGTACTGGCACAGTAATGATATAATTAAGTTTTAATAAATATAAGTAAAGAAACAGGAGTGAGAGTCACGGAGACGATTTTTACAAAGTCCTCTTCATGAAGTCAAAGGGAGCTGAATTGACACATATAATAAAAATTACATGTTTACATACAGCTGGCTTTATTAGAAATTTCCCTTCCGAGTAACGCACGATTACAGTTTTATCGACGTATTGCGTTGAATATATTTTAAAACACGAACATTTTAAAAATTACACAAATTAAATCGTATTAAAATTGTTATAAAGTGGTATTTTCTATTTTTCCATCGTTTGTTTGTATACTGATAAGAGGGTGCCTCTTACTTTCGACCTTAGGTCGTGTCAATTACGGCTTCAGTTCTTTATTGCTACATTTTCAATAGGCACGTAAGCAATTGGATTCTATACTTATTATTCACTTATAAAAATAACCAATAAAACTGTTTAAAATAAAACTAGCTGACTCTGCAGACGTGGTATAGATATAAAAATTTAAATCGCTATTAAAAATAGAGGTTGGTAAGTAATAGACGGGTGAAAATTTAGGGTTTTATAAATTTTTAATAACACATAATAAAAATTAAAAAACGTATCTAAAAAATTAAAGATAGGGATGGAGTATGATAAATAACAGTGTGACAAAAAAATATATAAGAAGATTATTATATTATTATTAACAGTTCATCTGCACGTGTGTAAATGCTAAAAAAACTATTCGCACGTCTATTATATTTTTATTTAATGTTATGCCTATATTTAGGAGTGGATGACTCGCTGTATTGAGGACAATGATTATCACAAGAACATCTAATGTACTTCTAATGATCAATACACGTAATTTCTTGGCAATTTCACGCCGTGTGTATGAGTCAACTTTTTCATGCAACATTCTTCATTTATATGTTTAAAGAAAGCTGAATTTTAATTTAGTATATTACAAATATACTTAATAGAGATATATAGATCGCTGAGGAGAGACACGTTGTACCACATTTTATACTGAAACTTGGTTATAAACTTATTTTAAATCATACACGTCTGAAGCATAACGGGGTAGCAAATTTTATTAAGTAATTATTAAAATAAAGACGAAATAGGGTTCAATATGAAATGTTTGTAATAAATAAATGTAAATTATTGATAGAATGATTTATTATTTTCACTGTTGCAAAGACTGGATCGGGAAATACTTAAATATAAAAAGAGTTATATACTATAGTACTCAAATAAAACTTTACTGATTATCCGTGTTAGTTGGCTAGTCATTGACACAATCGCTTTAATGTGATGACTCATTATGTCTGCCGAACTCAAATCACTATTATAGAATGATATAACAGTCTGCACAGTATTTTTAACCCTACAACAATATAATTAAGGGCTACCATAGTATTTATGAGTACAGCTGCTTCCCATCTTAGACAGCTATCTAAAGATTCATAAATCAGGTGTCAGTAGAGAAATATGTACATTAATTAGATCTGGTTGATTCGTCTCGCTGACTCGCGCCATTTTAAGTATGTATAATGTATGTACTACAACACTTTGGATTGTAATGTATTTTTTGGGTATACAATGAAGACTCGATTACCGGGATTGTCAGGATCAAATGTATTACATAGGTACAGTCAAATACGAAAATGTAGATTTCATCTCTTGAGAAGTTCAATTTGGCTTTGTTGTTACGAAAAAAATGCCTGTACGCGGATGTGGTAAATATAATGTACAACAATCTGTTTTACTCATATATTCCACTAATTTTTACCCGCAACTTTGTCTGTATCAGAATATGGACTATGGGCATCCGTTTGATATAATCTTAATGTATAAAAATTTTGTGTGCGTTGTTTGTTCGCGATGGAATCCTAAACTACTAAACCTATTTTGATGAAATTTGATACGTATACTTCGTCTTGGCACTTTGGTCTGAGAACAGGATGTTTTATACCTTTAAGTGACATAGGTGGTCCACCACACTTTGTTTCTTTTTTTTATGTGGTTTTTAACATAAAAAAATGTATTAATAGTATGTATTTTTAATAATAAATACTTACAGTAATTTGCTCTAAATTTTCACCCTTATAGCACCCCTATTGTTTAGTACCGATATTAATTTATACAGCAAAACAACGTTTGCAGGGACACTAGCTGTCCCTGCACATTGTCTATTATATATATACCATAACCATATATCCGTCTTTCATTAAGACCTGTTGAGCCATTTGCAAGCGGATTTATCATATTAGTGTGGGTTATTTAAATCCATTGCGACAACAATTACTCTGCGTAATCGCATCTCCACTGTATTATTGTACCGATATAGATTTAGCTCATAATTTTAGCAATATTTAAATTCGAGATTACAGCACATGCAATATTAAACTGCAAAATTGAATTTAAAAGTTAAACGCATTAAGACTTATTTACATTTTTTTATCTTTTAGTTAATGTACTTTGATATTAAGCATGCGATGTGGTTTTTCCGATTTCTATCTAATATTTGCCTCGCCATTGATAAGGTTTAAAACCAATGTAATATTTGCAGTAGACTGTCTAAATACTCTGTATTAATGGGTAAATTAATACTCATAAAAATTAATGAATACCAAGTATTCACTTACTATTTACTTATTCTTAAGTAAATACATATATGGCAGTGCTAAATAATGATTCCAAATACCTATTTCATTAATCCGATTAATGATTAATGCGAGTTATGCGATCAAATATTGTTTGTTACTTTACATGCCAAGCTGATTCCCACGAAACGTCTGTTGACACGCACTTCGGTATACATCAAAAGCATGGCGCATCATAATCAATTTGTTAGGCAATACCACACTCAACCTTATGATTAAGCCATTGTGCACAAGAGTACGATTACTTTAGCCGATCCAGACTATTCTAGAAGATCAGGAAGCGGCTTAAGCTAAATTATTAGGGTAGACTATAACGTTAGGTTTCCATGAAAACACCGCAAAAGAAGATCATCAGGTCAATTACAAATCTCGTAAGTGCTAGAGGTGCCTACCATGGTTATTCATATTTATATAACGTAAATGGTTATTGCTACACATGGATATTCATATTTAAATAGACGTGGTAGATCTGATTAACTTCGAACACAAGATGTATGCAAAATTGTTCATACATTTGAGCTTTGTTGTCCAATTTCGGATTTTGACCGCAAATCAAGTTGTTTTAAGTCCAAATATTCGCGTAAGTGTTCGTGTAAATGTACAACTTTGTTTGGTAACATAAGTTCAAATATTTGTTGAAACCTTTGAGGCAGTCTGGCGCCAAAGTAATATACACATGGACAAAGCCATTTCTATAAGTTTATATTTGTAAAGTACCTATACATAGTTCTAAAAATAAAGTCCTACTCCGCTCCAAGATATGTGCATGAATAATCAGATAAACAAATAGACTGTTCAAATATACTGAATACATATATGATTTTAAAAAATTGATTCCGTAAGCCAGTGTTTTGTTATACTTCATATTCTACTGAATTATCTTTCAGTTTTTAGGCAATTCAGTCACATTTCTAATTATACAAAAAATAATAAAATAATGAAAACTATATGGTATAAGGAGAAAAGGATATTTACTTAAAGCAATTTATTACAAAAACAGTAAATTCCAAAACTTATGTATAGAAAATATGGATGTTAAATAAAATGATTGTAAAACAGAAAAAGAATTATAAATATAATAATTATTATAATATAATAATTATAACACTACACTGCCAGTGCAAAATAACATAGTGTAACTAGCAGCCCACACATTCCAGAAATAAACAATTTTATCTCTTATATAAATAATATTTAGTGAAAAGTCCGCCAATATGAAAAAATCAAATTTTTATTCTAATGTATATATTGTATGATTTGTTGTAGTCCTAAACAGACACAAAAGTGGTAAAGTAAATTGTGGTATAGAATTTATTGATTAACATATTTAACAATAGAATCAAACAATTTTAGATTTCATTTAAAACACTTCTTTTACCACCTTAGAAATTGAAAAATTCATTAAATCTATTGGCACTTCTGTAAAAAAAATAAAAAAAGACTGGAATGATTTTTCTTGAGCACCTATTAATTCGAACATATGGTGAACAAGCAATAAAACACTTTTGACAATAGATTAATCATAGTGTTCCAATAAAAGCTACATTTTATGTCCCCGCCACAAACATCTGGTCTACACCAATCAGATAACATTGTTTTAATGTGAACTTTGAATTAGAGACATTAGAGTCCAGTTTAAAATGCCAATTCATTTTAAAGTATCAAGGAAACTATAGAAACATTGGATTAAACATAGATTTGGCAGATGGGGTTTTATCATGGTAGAGTAGAGTAACAAGAAAGATTCTAATTTTGAAATAAAAGGATTATTTTAATTATTATTGAATTACATGTAAAAGTTTGCTACTACTTTACTACACTTTACTAGTGGTAGTTTAATAATGCAACTGTTAAGGTATTATTATACTAACTAGAAACAGCAGTAATGATACTGAAACTACAATAATAGCCTAATTTAAACAATTGGTTTAAAATATTAAAAACTAGTTTTCACCCTCATGACATTTATAGCCTATGTGTTATTTTGATGTCAAAGCTATATTAATGTAAAGTAAAATACTATATTAATTAAAGTAAAGTTCCAGCAAAATCCATTCAGTAGTTTTTATGTGAAAGAATAACAAACCATCATCTGTACTCACAAACTTTTGCATTAATAAAATTAGTAAGATAATAATAATATTATAAATTACAAAGTATTAACGGTTTTCCAGATTACATATTGCAAATAAATCTCCTCCTTTTTAGAGCTTGCCAAAAATACAGTATAAATTTACACATTTTAGTATCAAAAAGCTTAAATTGAAGCTTACTTAGCAATATACCCTATATTGCCAACCTAAGTATTAAACATTATCTATTGCAATAAAAAAATATAAATAACAGAACACTATTATATTTATTATTATGTCATATAATATTTGAAAACTTAAATATTCTTTTGTATTTCTAGTGCAGTACCAATCCCAAGCTACACCATAAACCTGATTGAACTTGTAACCCGCAATTATACTGGAATCATGTAACATGAGACAAGGGTACAAAATTATTAGTGTGTGCAATATAGTCAAGAAACAACAGTTAATGCTCCTAACATGATCTTTATACCCTTTAAACTAGATTCACTCTACATATGAATACTAAAATGGTTCTAAAAGTCTTGCATTTTTCAGGCAAAAATTATGATTTTAAGTGTGGACAGTTTGATGCAGCTAAAAATTATTATATGAACACATTAAATAGTCCTAAATAAGATTATTTTATATATTTAACAGATATTTTCTTATCAAGAAATAAAGTAACAACTCTATAATAGTTAAACTTGGTTTGTATGTTTCAGTTTACTATTAATAAGGTATATATATCCCATTGTATTTAAATATATTATAAAGTATTAAGAGACAATTTAATAAATTCTAAGATTTAATACAGTATCCTGTATATTTTAAATAAATATGTACAACTATTCGGTAGAAAAATATAAAACTTTAACAGTGTAGTTAGTCCTATACATAGACTATAGTAATGTAAAATAATATCAGTAAAGAAGACACTACAGTGTCTTTACCTAAACAGATATGGAGGTATCGTAGTATGTTATAAATAGATATGTAATTAAAAGTGGTTTGAGTGAAGGATGCAAACAGGTGTCATGGGAAACGAGTAAAAATTATCAAGTTCAAGACTTACTTTGCTCATTCGCAATTGTCACTGTGGAGTCGCTCGCGAATGAGTTGCTCCTTGCAACAGGACCGTATTGTTGTCTTCTTCCACCTTCTCTAGACTCTGTCCTCTCCACATCATCCGCTTTACAAAGGTGAAGAGCTAACACGCACCAATAAAAAACAACACCGATACGCATCGTGATCTCTTAATGACATTAACGCACTATGAACACGCGATCTAACGACACTATTTCTACGAGATACACTATACACATTCTAAATTAATAAACTAATCAAAGGATGTTCGTTTTAAGGCCACATACGAGACTACAAAGAAAATTACACTACCGATTTTTATCACAGAAAGAAAAATCTAGCGAGGTACGAGGTCGAAAAAGTTTGACGTTTATTTTTCATGTGCATTCATGTATGCCAACACAGAAATAATTTGACACATGACATATGTTGAGTTGGTTGTCTGTGGTCAAGTGTTGCAAGCATGAATATAAATGAGATTGAGGATTTCATTTTTTTATATATTTCGTACGATCTATTTGCGATATTTAATGAATATTTTATATATACACTTAGAAAATTAATTACTTAAATAAACATGTAATTAATATAGGTACCTAAATCTGAAAAAAATAATGACATTTTGATATATAAATCTTTCAAGGTGATATAGTGAGAATTTGGCTTTACATGTAATCCATTATCTCAATTGTGATTCTGAAAAATATGAACGCATCCTATTTTTACTTTTTTAATTTTAGCAAAAGCAACAAACAAAATCAAAATAAATATGTCAAATGACCTTGCTAGTTTGTAAACAATACATTGAAGTGTAATACAAATTATCTAATTTCCTTGTTATTTGTGCCCATATATAAAAACATCATTACTCTTCAAGTGACAAAGCGGAAGCGTAAAAGTGAAAAAATGAATATAGACTTTGAAACTATGGCTGTTTTAGAGGAGGAGTCACAAAATGTAAATATTATTTTTCTTTGTTTTCTGTAGTTTTATAGTTAACTAAATCATGTATAATTAGTTTTAAAGCTATTTTTAGGAGATAATTTATATTATTGTATGCTTCAATCGCTTTAATTTGAATTTCATTTGCAATCTTGATAAATATATCAATCTTACTGATCTATTTTAATCATGACACCATTTTCTTTATTCATTGACTCTTAAATCTGCCTGAGATCTTATTGCACAATGAGAAGAAGTGTTTCATCATCTTTATCTATAAAATTGATGACATTTGATGATAATTATTATTCTTTTACTTAAATATCCATAATTTACTTAATAATAGTAATTAGAACATTTTCATATTATTGATCATTGTTATTGAAGGACATTCACCTAACAAGCCAAATCATATGGTTCCTATGTATGAGTAGGTAGTGATAACAATATCATTATTAATTTGTATATCTTATCCTATATGTAATGTATGCAGTATAAGAGCTACTTTTGCTTGTATATAAACAAGATCAAGCCAAAGTAGCTCTTATGTAACCTAAGTATAAATATTACATTTAAATATTTTGAATGAGATTACATATTTTAAAATTCTAGTTTATTATTATCAATGTTATACTTGTGCTAGTGACCCAGAAAAAAAGTGTATATCTAATAATAACTCAGGACAATTCATACAGTGCCACTTAGTCCCAAACTAAGCAGAGCTTGTAGTATTGATACTAAAGAACTGATAGAAACTACTAGGCTATTTTATATACATGGAAATAATCCAGAACATTGTAAACTTAAATTAGTAATTTTAATCATACTCATGAATACTAAGCTTTGTATTGAGACAAATTCGAACCAGCAACCTTCAAAAGTAAAGAGGTGACAAATCAATTTAATGTAATGTAATGTAATAACATAAACATATGCAGCAAATAATAAACATTGTTTGCTCTAAGTTAGTTATTTGTAGTTCCAGAGCAGAACTACTTTATGGACAAACCTTAAACTGTATTTTTGAATCTGTCTTTTAAACTATTCTTTCTTTTAATTTAAATTTACCATAATAAATATTTATAGTGTGACTTTGTTGTTAAAATAAAATAATCTATTAATAAAATGCTCAATTTGAGATTCAACCTTGATTAATAAACAATATTAAAACACTAAATTTAAGAATGTAATCACTATTTTTATACTTGGATTTCAAAATGAATTCCTGGACTGAAACAAAATATAAACTATTTTCTTTTCACATTAGTTCCAATAGATCCTTATCTCATTTAGATTATCATAGATATAGTTTGATTAATAATAAAATTTCCGTGTGGGTTAATAATAATAAAATTTAGTCCTAACCTAATTTGTGTTTTGATTGATGAGTGGAGAAAAGGCAGTGAAATTATAGTATATGTTGTCGTAGCTCTCTGAAATGGAAATATATGAGTGGTATCACAGGGGTCTCATATGAATGTGGTCTAAATAGATGACAATTACTACTTACTGTCAGGTAGCATATTCAAATGTTTGCTATTCTAATTTTAAATTAAATTATGAAAATAAAGTGTTTAAAAGTATTGAAGATTCAAAAATTTTGCTTAACAAGTGTGCAAAGGTTTTCTATGTTCTATGTCCTGTTAGTAGAGATAGTTAGTGTTTTTTATTAAGTAAATAATTTCATTAGAATGTTATGCTATGAAAAAACTGTCATTGTGGTTAGTTCTGAATGTCAGTGTATATGCTACATTAGGCTAACTGACATGATTGATTTATTGCTCATCTCATATGGGGTCTGATACAATTAAAAAAGAAAATTAAAATGTAAGAATGGAAAAGTATCTCTGCCATTTATTAGATTGAAAAACTTGCTAGCTGGTTATGTCCGTGGTCTGAATGAGATATTTTTAAAAGGTTCCTTGAAGCTTTACTATCCATATATAAACCTCTCTCATAATGAGAAGTGCAATCTTGTATTCAAACTCATGTTTTAGTTATTAAAATAATTAGACATTGTTAGTGATAGTGATAATACTAATTGGAGACAAAACTGGACTTATCTCTACAAGAGATCTCTTCCAGTGAACATTTAATTATAGGAAATTAAATTATATTTGTGTTCCATCTATTTTGACTTTTTCCATCCTGTATATTAATTGCTTCATTTGCATAATATAAATAATTTTATACTTATTCAATTGAATATAATAAATATTAATTTACTTGTATTTTGTTTAGAATATAAATTAACTTATATATGTTGTGTTAATATTAAATAGTTATGTAACCATAACATTCTACAATATTTTGGAGTAGCTAGCGTCATCTGTCTGTTCAATAGTATAGCATTATAAAGCAATATGTAAAAGTATGCTTTATGTATTAAGGCAGTTGCAATGTTATCTAATGTACATTCCGCTAGATGGCGCTTTCTGTTGAATTGACTTGTCTGTTGTATTACTTATATCATCATCATCTATTATCACTTATATATTAGACTAGTTGCCTGTATTGCGTTGATTTTCAGCCAACTTGAAAAATAGAAAGTTGTACCTACTTTTTTTTAATACAATATGAACCACTGTAATAATATTTTTTTTAGGCGCAGCACTACAGTAGTCAGCAATATTGATATTAGGTATATGGTATGCTTTAATCAAGAACATTGCGTTGCCATTCCAGAGAACTAAGATGTCATTTATATATATGTACTCTATACTTGCTGCCATATCTAAGTATTTATATCATTTACCTTAGTACAAGCTTTGCTTAGCTTGGGGCTAAACGGCACTGTGAATTGACTTGGGTTATCTTTATTATTTTTATATCTAACAATTTTTTTTTTACTATTTGGTACTACCTATTCTTTTCTGCGTATTTTTATATATTATTTATATTTATGATTAGATGGCCTCGTTAATCTAGCGGTTTAGCACACCGCTTTACTTCAGATGGTTCGGTACTGGGTTGATCTATTTCTCACATGGTAAAAACATATGTATTCATGAATAGTATGAATTGTATCGATCTGGATGATATATATTATACCATGCACCACAATTGATCCCCCGTCTAATTCAAACGGGGTCGAAATTACGACGGCCTGTTTCGAGGTTCGAACCCCTAGCCGTGGCCTCAGACTGAAGTCGTATCCGTTTCCGGCGGAAACTAGTCTTCAGATGCTCCATAAGTCCTCCCGCGGATTTGGAGTGCCATCTGCACTCGCTCCCAATTGTCCGGTGAAGCTGTAAAGGCCAGCTGCAGCCAATAGCATTAGAGTAGTTCGAAAAAAAAAAACCAGTATCGATGCACTAGTATCGATGCGATGGATGCAGGTGGGCCGCGAATGCGCAGTAGGTAGCTCCAGAGCGGCGTCCCGACGCTGCGCGGTTCAGTTGTTTCAGTGGCGCTTCAGACGCAATGACGTCGTCGTTATTTTACTTAAATCTTATTAAGATCACAATCGCATTCATTTATTACGGATATTGTACCATTTTTCTTTCCTGTACCTGGTAAGTGCCGCACTCTTATCAGTCATAATTTTTATTAATATTAATAATATTAATATTTGTAAAAAAACATTTTTTATTGATTATTTTTTTTTATCTTCTACACATTAAATAATTATGTAACTAATTGTTGTTTGTACATTGAAAATATATGAAAAAAAAACTATTATTAGGCGTAAAAACATCTAAAGCAATGATTGCAATTCTTTGTCTATGCGCACTATTTTTGAATTCTCGGTAATAAAATTATTTTTGAAATAGTATTTATTATTATGCTTACACATTGGCAGCAAAGATTTTTCATTACTCTGTATTATACGTATACAGACGAATATATATTTTTTTAAACATACAATTATTGCAACGTTGATGATACATGGGACCCCGCACTAGGCATACCTGTCTCGAATCTTGAATATGATATGTTCTCTATTTAGATCTACTTTTGTCATTTATACTTTAAAATGATAAAGACTTCATATATTATGTCACAACAGTTTTGTTTAATTTTTACTAGTAACACTCGGACAGGTTTTTTACCGCTCTGATATATGTACGTTGATTATATATTTCAAAATTTTACTAACTACACTGCTGTGTGTACTGTATGTAGTGTATTAAATTGTGTTATACGGTCTCTCTATACAATTTAATTAGGTATCTATTTCAGCCATATTTTGATGGTAGCTAGCGACATCTGCCTATTCCATAAACAATATAGCGGTGTAAGGTAACATGAATGGAATATTGCTTTTACTTCAGTTAGTAATTAATATCAAGATATTCCGCTAGATGGCACTTTCGCCTTTTTTTTTTTTAATATTTTAGTGTTGTGTATTTTATTTTGCAAGTCGTTTCATAATCATCCAATTTTTTTACATTTCAGTAAAGTGATTTCCAATGTCATTTCCAATAAATACTTTGTTTTTTAATGGATGATTATGAAATGGTACACCCACCAGCGCTATTGATATTCCCTGTTGGGGTACCGGTAGATGATGATAAGAGGAGTATGAACCCATCTTGACAAATTGATCAAGAACATATCACCGTGGTTTCCATGGGAAAAACGTGCGGAGGTCGAACCGACTAGATAGGATTATTATACCGCATGGTGTTAAGTCCGCCAAATGTACTGTTACTTTTGTACTGTGTGCATTAAAGTTATAAATAAATAAATTATTTATTTCGTTAAGTAAATATTATTACTTTTTGCTATGACAACTGATAAGTGTTATAAACATAACAGATTAATGTCATTAGTTTTGTTCTGAAATTCTCCACGCACGCACGGAGATCGTCGCACATGTCCAGATCACTGTTATATACCCAAATATCGACGATGAATCGGAAGCAGGAGGTAGAACAAGTCATTTCGCCTATAAGAAAACTACATCAAACAATGATGACCATGTCATTATGAAACTATAGGTATTTAAAAAAACTAAAAAAATCATCATCCCTGTAATGACCATTTCAACCTTGTTGCTACAAAATGTAACT